ATCGCATTGCCGTCTCCTCTCTTGAGCCCGCCAGGAGGGCACCGGCCAAAAACACCATTGCCGTTGCCTAGCGAACAAGTGGAATCATTCCAATCTGGGCCGCTGGTTTCTGCGAATCTGCCATTAGAGATCGCCTCTTTGCTGGCCGCACACAATCTCACAGCGGCAACAGTTGGACTGCCATTATCCGTCTCTTGTGGTCTGGAGCCGTCATCTGCGGCTTCCATCGTCACATCGGCCCCGGGATTGTCCTTCCTCTCCTCAGCATCATCTCCACCTTTGCTGGCCACATCAATTGCTACAACCGATATGGTCTCAGCTGGTCATCCGGCTGAGGCCTCGGAGATTATGGCAGCTTCAGCTGCTAGTTACTTTGGACAGCACGATTCGAAAGCGTTATTCTCAACAAGGACACAAGTTCCAAATGTCGACATGAAAGAGCCGATGGAATGTGATGCGAAAATTGCGAAAGTGGGTAATATTCTTTCTTGATCTTAGAAATTGCTTTTATTCCGAATAAAGGACCAAAGCTTTGACATTCTTTGCAAGGGCTCTAAATAATAGAAATAATATAGTATATATATATATATATATATATATATAATATTATATAATAATAATATATAATATATATAATATTATATAATATAATATTACAAAAAAGTTCCTGCCCTACTGCCCCATCAGTGATTGTGTCATACCTCTGTGTATGGCAAGACTCGGTAACTAGTTGTTTTGCCTCGCCTGAATAATGATGTCAGTCCCCATGACAAGCTGTGTTCATGACACATCTTAGAAATAGGTTATCACTCTTGCTACAAGTCTATACTCATCAAAAGTCAAAAGACGATCTTACTTTTGTCATTCAAATTTTAAACACTAGACTATCTAGTCTCGTGTTCCAGCATTAAACTTTATGCCATCACTAGTATGACCAAAAGAGAACACTTTTCTCTCAAGACATTATTGCCAAAGCATGATCAAAGTCTAGCTATCCAGCTCTCTTGTTTGCAGAGTTGGGCTTATCGCACATATAAAAGCAAATTGAGTTACTAGTAATATCATATTAGATTATGTCTTAGTTCACTTTAGTTGAAAGTCTTGGCTAAATAGATTAAACAGAAAATAGAAAAGACTTCGGATTTTTCCTGGCCTGCTGTAGTTAGTCCCCACTCGAAATTTGATGTTACCTCAGTCCCGGGGATATCGTACAATGGTGTATGAGAACATCTGACCTAGGATGCAAAACTTCAGGTCCATAATCCATTCACATAAGCTGTGTAAGGAAAGTAGGTTCTACGAAAAAGCCTAGAATATAGGTAAATTGAGCGATATTTTTAGTTGACCGGAGTTTTCAGTGCATAAACTAAGTACGCACTCGAATTATGTTATCCGAAGCTCTATGAGAGCTCCTAAGTTGATGAATTCATGGGTATGAATAACCAACTAATACATTATTAACTTTATCTGGATAATGGTGTTCATACACCCATATCTGCTCGTGGACCTGTGCTGTATCTCTTCCAACATAAGCACTCTACACTATACTCATAGAAATGGATATAAATCGAAGTCGAATAATTTCCCAAGAACCATATAAATAAATAATCTATCATTGCAACATGATTACCAAGAAGCGAAGACTTCATGCGGAAAAGCACAATAAGAAAGATTATGGATAGATAAGTATAGAGAATAAGGTTTTAAACAATCTGCCGAGTCTTTTAACTATTCAATTCACTATTGGTAGAGGAGGTACCATTCCATTTGGCGCCAATCCATAAAAAGTATGAGATGCATTTACCCTATTTCGTTTAAGGTGATGAAATATTGGTAGTATAAACTCTATTTACATACGAAACATAAAAAGTATGCTTGAACATCAATGCGATTCAAAATGACCTCACTCAAATTAGTACTACCAATTCAGGATAGGCAAATATTAATTGCTAGTTTCGAAGCAAACTTTAAACCAATATAGGCTGAAAAGGCTTCGAAACTAGAGGAAACTGTTTTATATGAACTAGCTATAATCTGAATCAATTTGGACCCTGAATGTCCTGATAATCAAGTTTATAAATATGGACCGATTACGAGGCCTCATCATTCTATTTTCTTTCATTTATCCCTTATATAAGTGTCAAATTTAGTTCAGCAGGCCTTGGATCATACCAGAAGTTAAACTAGAACCACTTAAGAGAAAACCCTAGTAACTAACGCCATGAAAAAGAACGCAAATAATACGTGTTGGCAAGCCGGATTTTAGATCCAGTGAGTAGTTATCTAAATTGATTTTAGATATTGTATATGAACCCATAACACATTAAGCAGCTTAACTCGATGTAAGTAGAATGTCTCACAATGCCATTAAATTTCACTTAGCCTTGTCTCCCAAAGTGCCTCATCATCCAAAGTAAACAGGAGATTCGGCCTCGCTTTTCGGCACTCCAAGCAGGTGTCGTCAAACCTCAAACGGCAATAGTACCTCTCCTTCACATGGCCATGGGTGCCTCTTATTGATCTGAAGCTTACTAGCTGGGAATATAGTAATGTAGTCGATCGTAATGGAATATACAAATTCACCCCATACATAAAAGTCACCCTATAAAAATTTGGGTTAGGAGAAGCATAGTTTGATTTGAAAGTCACATCTGCCCTGTAACCCAACGGCATCCATGGCTGAGTGGTTAAGTTGCAACATTTCAGCTTGATGCACAACCCGATCTCGATTACCTTTTGGGTCCTGATGAGTTCTAGGAAAGGCCGAATCTGAAATACAGTTAGGAGAACTAAGCAATTTTGAGGCAAGAGTGAGTGAACGTCGACGGGTCTTGCTCCTTTTTCACTGTATAGAAATAAGTAACAGTTCTTGGGTCACTTTAACCGATGTCGGGGAATTCGAGTTCTCATCCAAGTTCCGGAAGTCTTTCAGAACTGTTAATTCCATTAAAGGGATTATTGGTAGTTTCTTTATATTCTATTATTAGGCTTAGGTGATAGCATTAAATTGTCACAATCAAGCTCACAAGCGTTAACGAACATTAGCATTGGACTATGTGGAATGTGGCTGCATTTGAGTAATCACGAAGAGATTATCGTTGGTTAAAGACTATAAAGTTGAAGATACTTCGAGTAGCCTAACTAAGTTCTTTTTCAAGACAATACAATGATTCTATTTTGTTTGGAACTATCAAGTTCTAGAAACTTGCCTAATTCTTCAAGCTCTTTGATCAGGTGGACAAGGTCAAAACGAGTTAGCAGTTTTGCATTATCTTCAAAGTTGTCCATCGCTTGCCCAAGTCCACTTTTTGCCTAAAAACAATAAAAGTTACTATTGACTCATGTTCTTTCCATGAAGCATTAGTGGTTATAGCTTAAATTTGCTTGCAATTTTGCTCCTATCCTTCGGCCAAAGTTAGCTGCCGATCAGCTTAAGCTGGTACCAATTGAACAGCTGTCAAAGCTAAACGTGGTTTGCACAATCACTGGTCGTGGCTTACACACACGCGTCGCCTAGTCGATGAACAGCCAGCTTTTTCTAAATGTAATTTTGTCAGATATCATAGTCAGAAGTTTGGATGTTCCTCCCTCTGACCGAGGGACTGAAGCTGGACTCAAGCTCTGATAGTAGGCACGTAGAGATTTCAGCTATAATTGCTTCCACATGTTTGTA